GCTTTTAAAAGACTTATAATTAGACTTTTTACTTATTATAAATAAAGCTATTATAATTAAAACTATAATACTACTTACGGACCTCGATAATAAGTAGTTAATAATATAATTTTTTTTTTATAATAAACTTAAAAAAGTATTTTAATTTAAGTACTAAGTAAGTATTATATTATTTTATTAAAACTATATTTTTATATTTATAACTTAAAAAGAATTAACTTTTTTTAATAATAAGGTACTTAGGATACGGGTATAGAATACGTCTTTAATAGGGTCGGCTAACGGCAACGACAGGATCTTATTCTCTAGCGGTCTTAATTTATCCAAACCTTCCGGCCCCGGTTAGTCGCACGCACGTACTTACTAGAATATCCTGCGTGCTAACTAAAAGTAATTTAACTAGAGCTAACAGGCCTTATGCGCTCGCATATAAGTACTAAATATATAGGAGAAGCGGCAATCGCCCTCCCTCCCCTGCTCAGTACTATCCCTCAAGTTACTACTTACATATCTAAATACCTTATTATCAAAGAAAGTTAATTCTTTCTAAGTTATAAATATAAAAATATAGTTTTAATAAAATAATATAGTACCTACTTAGTACTTAAATTAAAATACTTTTTTAAGCTTATTATAAAAAAAAGATAATTATATTACTAACTACTTATTATTAAAGTTCGTAACTAGCGCTATAGCTTTAACTATAATAGCTTTATTTATAATAAATAAAAAGTCTAATTATAAGTCCTTTAAAAGCCTTTTTTTAAGGGCTATAAGAGCCTCCGAATTAAGTTAAAATACTTATTAAAATATTAATAACTAAACTAACCCTACGATAATAGCCTTAATAAAAAAACTAAAAAACGAACTAAAAAATAATATTAAAATCCTTATTAATATTAAGTATAATTTATAAAGCGTAGTAACGTAGTTATAAAGTATTAATAATATATTTTATATTAAAAAAATTATTATTAATATTAATAAAACGGATAGGGCCGTATTAATATAATACCTCGGCTTCTTTTTATAGCTTAAGGATTATAATTTTAAATAGTATTAAAAATTTATTAAAAAGCTTTTTTAAGTATTCTAATATATTTATTATTATCTTTATAATAATAAAACTCCTAGTACTTATATACGAGTATAAGTTACTTATTTTTAAATAGTAATATTAGCTTATTAATAAGCTATTAAAACTACGATTTTAGTAATTTTTTAATAAGGGAGAGGATAGAATAGAGGAAAAAATAAGTAATTTATAAAAAGGGTTAAGGTTAAATAGTACGGAATTCGAGGGTAAGGTAGCGTCTATATATACTACGGCAATCCTCTAGTAATATAAAACGATAGAGTTAAACAGTGACTACTTACAGATCAGGCAAGGGACCAGGCAGGCAGAGACAACGGGCAATGTCGAGCGCTGGAAAAAGAAACGAAGTGCGGAGCTGAGGACCGGAGTCATGGAGGAAATGGGTTAGCAGTGGGAGGTTGAAACTCGAGGAGCGCATGCTGTCGAATGTGACTTATCATGCCCCAACGGTCCTCTTGTCACGCGCGCGTGGCTGGGGCCCTTGGGGGTGGGCTCCGATGGTCGACGGGCTGGCAGGGAAGATTGAGGATCCGGATGCAGTCGGGCTCTTTCGGTAGGTCGATGCGGCTTGATGAATCCTGATGAGGTCGCAGCCGGGTCAGATGTTGGGTAGGATGCTGGATTCAAGAGTTATGTCAGCTTTTATAGGTGTGCCTGGGCAAAGAACATGTCCAGTCGATGGGGTTAGACGACTCAGAACGTTGCAACTTACGAGAAGTCTGAGCAGCGCCAGCTGTTAGTTCTATAGTACCCCATCGATGCCCTGCATACCTGGTTGTAGCTAAGAACGTGGAAGTGAGCGGGGAGTCAGGAGACCGACCGCCGACAAGAAGTTGCAGACTGTACTCCGTAGGGACCGAGACCTTTGCTCATTGCCGTAGCTGCCAGGTGGCAGTCGGTGAATTGGCCGTTTTCCTATTTCAACGACTTACATGAGTGGGCTAACATCCCGGTATGCCCAGACTCGAGCCCCAAGGGCCAGAGACGAACCCCGGGTGACAGATCACATCGCACATATTGGAGACCGGGCGAGCCCTCCGGGCAGCTTGGAAGATGCGAATTTCGTCAACGTCGAATATGACTGACCCGAGGTGATCGTACGAGGTGAGCAAGGCCAGATGGCGGCCTAGGTAGGATGCCTGGTAAGCCGGAGGAGGGAGGCTCAGAAGCTGAACACGAGAAGCGCGGGATTAAGATTATTTTCGAAATGGCAAAGATGGGCCATCGGATTGCGACGGGTGGTTGATTGGATCTCGGGGTAGGATCTGCGGTGTCGAGGAGGCTTGCGGCAGGTCAAAGGTTTATTCGCGCACTAGAATGAAGTCGGGACGCCATTGTCGATGTGGGTGGCTTCTTTGCGTCTGCTCATGACCAACTAGTGCATTGTGAGAGTCAGTTTGAATCGAAGCCGTTGGATGCCATTGCTGACCCGTCACAACGGCACCTCGGCCGTGACGTCAGGCAAGCCGCGAAGCTGAGGGAGCAATGCAACTATGCAGGCCCTTGAGGCCCACGAGGGAGAATGGCTCAAAACATGTGCAGTGAGTTGATGTGTGTGTGGAGGGGGGGGGGGGGGAGCTGGAACGAGAGAAGAGCATCTCCATCTTTGCCTTCATCGGGTGGGATATCCGTGTTATTCGGTATGAAACTGAAAGCACTCGCCCCCGCTGCCTTCTACTTGCGGCGACTTGCCTCTTGCAAGATAGTCTTTTGGGAAGCAAGCCAGCAAGGCACCCTTCTTGTGCGACCTCAGGTGGCAGAACGGGAGCGTGAGGCTTTGGCTGGCCAGGTGGGAGCTCCCGTCCAGACTCCAAAGCGGCAGAGTGGTACTTCCCTTCGTGTCATTCGTGTCCGGCCTGTATTCGCAGCAAAAGGTGCAAGGCAGTCCCGACTCCCAAGGAGCGAGCCAGTAGCCCATTTGTGCCAGCCAGCCTAGCACACACGAACACCATTCTCCCGTCAGAGTCAGCCATGCATATGATATTGGGAGGTGGCGTCCCATAGCATCGTTCGTCGCACACTGCGAGGCAGCTCATGCTTAGGCGCTTTCCAGACCGAGCGCCCCCTTTTTCTCAGCGGTTCGCTCCCTCGTGATTTTACAAAGAAGCAAGAGGTGAAGGCGAAGACATGCCGCACAGCTCGAGGCCGACTGACCTCCAAAAGACCAGACTGGAACTGGGACTAGGCCTAGGGTCCACGTCGGCAGGACAAGCCTGCGAGGTTGGCTGGTGAGAGTGGGTGTGCACCCCCGGCACCGGTGTGTGGAGATATCGCTCGCCATTGCTCCTTTGCTCCTCTATTTGTACGAAGGGCTTCAGCAACCTGGTTCAATCACACTACAGTGTCTCTCGCTTGTGGTTCCTTTGAATGCCACTTGACTGCTGTGGCTAAGCTATTGTTGACAATTCAATTCCAGCTCCGTGGAGTTCGGCTCAGGAATGAAGCCATTGAGGTAGCAAACCACATGGGATCTGGCGAACAATAGCTGCCGTACTTTGTACTCTGAATGGTCGGGACAGAGAAGGTCCGCACATTGTACTCCGTAAATGTAGGTACGCAGTAAATGTGCCAAGTTTTGGCCGTGAAGTGTGTGGGTGGTTCTCCTCATGCAGCATCTGCAATTGAACTTGTGCTTGCTAATGGATTGGAAGGTAAAAGTTGGCATCCGAAGGCGGTAGCAAAGCAGCCCAGCTGAGGGATCAGACCCTGTCACAGCACCCCGAGGATGAAAGGCCGAAGGATTATCGACTTTGATTTAACCGCGAGTACTTTTGGTATGGTGCATGATGTATGTGAGACAAGGTATCTTTCCGTGGTGAGAAAGTACCAGACTTGACATGCCTTGAGGTAAGCGTCGTGGAAGGTGGTGCCGTGGTGCCTACCCCAAGGGGGTTCAGTTGCGACTCAACCAACTCGCCGCCTCGGGACTCGCAGTGGTACCTACCTTACCGCACCTTTGTGGTGCTGGTGGTGCTGCTGTTACTGCTGTACTGGGCCCGGCTGAGGAAGTATCTACCCAGATACCTTAGGTGAGATGCTGCCTTCCACAGTTCCATCTGGCTGGCGCGCCTTGTTTGTTTTATTTTGGATTGTCTACCGGTATTATCCTTTTCCTTTGCTACGGGCTGCTTCTATCAACAAAAGCGCTGCGCCGCCAACACCCACCCATCTGGCGCTCCCATACACAGTCATATACCTACAGTAAAGGTACCTTACCTTACGCAGTACCTTGAGGAGCGCCTTGCCCACTGCCCGTCGGAGTTGTCCTCCCTTGTCGCTTACATTGGAATCCCAGCCAAAAGACATCCCGCTCGGGTCCCAGTCCCGCTCCCGCCCTGCTACAACACCACTGCTGAGGTGGACTCGATCTCGCCGCCTCTCCGCCTGACCGCATTCCCAGCCAGCATCCGCACCAAACGGCTGCCGTCAGCGCCCTCATCTTTCCACATCGCTCCCTCATACCACCGCCGACAACCTCCGCAACGACCACTCTGAATCTTTGCACGTCGCTCACACGCTGCTTCTCTTGCCCACTGGCGTCTGCCATCACTTTCTCGAGCTCAGCTGTCTACTGTTACCGCCTTCAATAGAGACGTTGCACACCCTTTGTGCGTCGGCGCCCGTTGGGACTAATTGTGTTTGGTCTGGAAGGAGAAGGCCCAAGAGACGGGCCTTGCTCAATAAGTCGGACGTCTGACTGGCAACACCAACTGCTGTCTTGTCCACAGAGGTGTCGGCTTTGGAGGGAGACAATCGTCATCTTTCATTCGCAGCCGCAACAGCAACCACAAAAGAGGACGCATCTATCCGACCCGACCACGGGTGTTTCTCTCCCTTGTGCAGCAACCCTCGATGTCCTTCGACCGGCCCTCACTGGCTACGGCATTCACCTGAAGAGATCACAATGCGACCGAGAACCTCAGAAACGGCATCCCAGCCTTCTCAGGCCCAGGCGACATCCGTTTCCTCAAACCATCACCAAGCCCTCGGGTCCGCCCCGCCTCCAGCCGATACTTACTCCGACCAACAATCACAATACCACCTCCACCGCGAACCCAACCAGCAGCAGCAACAACAGCCTCACGACCCTCCGACACATGGGCAACCAGCGTACTCTTCTTACAGCCAAACGTTCCCCGTGATACCCTCATCCTACTACCACGAGCCTGGCTCATTTATACACGACGACTACGACGATTACGAAGACTACGAGGATGACGACGACGACGACGATGATGCGGAGGGTGAGGATGACGACCTAGACATGAGCGACAGCGATGGAGGTGCTCCCTTGGATCATGTCATGACAGTCACCAGCCTTCTGTCTCCCATGCCCGACAACGAGGCCGAGATGGACCCCCCTCAGTCGTTCTCAGGGAATCATCACTTTGAGCAACCCGTACATTCGCCACAAGAGCAGCACACGTCCACGGGGCCGCCTGCTCACATGATTAACTACTGGAACGTATCGATTGCAGCTGGTCATGCATTTCTTGATCCGATAGGAGCCCATCATCCCACCCCACTTGATACGACTCCTTTCCATCCCATGCTCCATTCTGGAGCCATGGATGACGACGACGACGACGATGATGTTTTCTATCCACCTGTAGCCGAGCAGCTCCAACAATTTCAAACAGTGGTTGCCAACGAGGACGAAATAGCATGGGAAAATGCAGGTCCGCCGGCCCTCAGCAATCCCAATCCAAGCACCCTCGGTCCGGAAAATCCTGGTCTGACCGATTTTCTCAAGGGCTGGGCCTGGCGTAACGGATTTCAGTCCCGAGGACCTAGTCCTGGAATTCGTCAAATCAATGCACAGGTCTCGCGGGATGTCACGCGCGTGCGATACTCGGATTTGGAGGGCGATGCATACGACGCGCAGGGCATCGACTGGGAAGCCTTGGGGGTGACACGCAAGAATGCTCGAGAGCGGAGGTGCCTCGACTACAAGAACTACACAAACAGGACAGATTCCGACATATGGGCGGTAAGTCGCCTCATGAAACAAAACCAACCCAGGACTGTAGCTGACACGATCATCATAGCCCCATCTGCCAGACAGGATTATACGAAATACCGAAGATTTCTTCAGGTTTCGTCGCATGGACATCCGTCAAAACGTTCACTTGGCCCATTTCCAGCTGCGCAATATCCTAGCATGTGCTGGGCGCAGCCATGCCTTCTATCCGGGTCAGCGAGCCGTTCACCGGATCAACCCCGTATCGGGAGAGAGTGAAGTGGCCATGGACCTCAACGACATGATTGGCGTCCAGATTTCAACTTTGGACGCCGACTGCGGCATCTTGATTGCGGGTACTTTCAACGGAGAGTACTGCATGCGAAACATTTACAGCCAGGATAAGAAGTACACCGAAGGACAGATCACCAGCCACGTAAGTGGCATAACCAACCATCTGCAGATCCATGCTTCCAGGAACTCATCCTCACCGCTGGCCGCCTTTGCGTCCAACGACCAAGGCTTCCGTGTCATGGATGTGGCCACCGAGAAGTTCGTTCTGGATACACAATACGGCTGTCCCATCAACTGCTCCGCTCTGTCCGCTGATCGTCGTTTGCGCGTAATGGTTGGTGATAATTACAACGTCCTGATTGCAAACGCGGATACTGGTGAAATATTGCAAGAGTTGGGAGGCCACCGTGACTTTGGGTTCGCGTGCGACTGGTCAGACAATAGCTGGACCGTTGCAACCGGTTTCCAGGACATGAGTGTGAAACTCTGGGACGCTCGAATGTGGACCAACTCAGACGGTACCAGCAAACCACTCACCACGATTCGCTCCGAGATGGCAGGTGTCCGCAGCTTGAGGTTCTCTCCCACCGGCAGCGGCCCTCAAGTTCTCGTAGCAGCCGAGGAAGCCGACTATGTCAACATCATCGACATTCAAAGTCTAGCCCACAAGCAGACATTTGATATCTTTGGGGAGATTGGAGGTGTCGAGTTCACCAACGACGGCCAGGACCTCAATATTCTCTGCATGGATCGTACTCGTGGAGGGCTGGTTCAACTGGAGCGTTGCGACTTAGCGTCTAGCTCCGATTTTGAGTACGCACATCAAGCGGCAGCCATGGATCCTTGGTGGAGGCCCAGCCAGAGCGGAATACTATCTGATGCAGATATGGTTCAGACGAAACTGCCAGCTCAGCGGGAAAGGGGGTACGACCTCTTTGATGACTTGGAGCCTTTCTGAAAGGGCATGATACCCCCGTTGTCGTCAGCTACATCTATCAACGTTGGCTGCGTCAGGGATGCATTAATCTCCTAGCCGTCGGCGTTTTGCGTTGTTTCGGCCGGCGTGTCATGGCAAACTTGGTCGATTTGGCGTTAACCCGCGAGCTCTACCTTGGCTCTCGAACCTTCGACTTGCTCACACTTGATGTGTGTGTGTGTGTGTGTGTTCGACCTATAGACAGTGCCCGTGCCTTGGTGCGCTGGCCTTGGGAGAAGACGGTTAGGAAAACATTTCCAGGGTCCGAGACTTCTACAAGCATCATCTTCATTTCCTTTCTTCATATTTTGACATTCAGCACAGCGTATTCACTGTTCATACTGCATGGAGGGTTTCTTAACGACTTTACGGAGGGACGGTGGGGAAGGTAAAGGACGCAAGGCATCGGTTGGTGTCTGCAGGCTTTCTCGGTTCTTCTTCCTGTCCGCGATATCCTTACTAGGGACGTGTCAGTATTTTACTTGGGTGCGTAGAAACCGACATTGGTTTTCTGGTTGCATTACTTTTTGGCAGGGCGGGACACGCGGATACACATTACATCTTTTCTCAACATGATGGATCAAAACCTAGGTGCCTGGGATCTTTCAGCATTTTGGCTTCATTCTCTGGGGAGTTAGTGTTTTTATGGCTCGGTCTGTTAACTAGAAGATGGGTTCCATGAAAAGGCCAGGGAGGGGAAGAGGGGATTTAGGATTAATCCATGGGGAAGGCGACGGGGAGGGCCGGAAGATATCCCGATAAAGACGTTGACGAAATACCACTTCTCATGACCTTGCTCTCATTCGTATGTGCGTTATGGCTCTTTACGCTTGTGTGTTTTTTGTCTTCCCTTCTCCCTCTCATCTCATTTCTCCTTCTTGGACATTACGTGGGCACGTGAGGCATGCGAAATGTCCCAGCGAGAGTTCCACTTCACGGACCAACAGTTCGGACGAGAGAAGATGAGATCAAGATTGGGAGCGGGGGTTCAACTGAACGTCATGTTAGAGATGGTATCTTTGCACCTTTGTCTGTTTCTCTTTTGCCTTTTGCTCTTTGAAAATTTGGTACTGATAGTTGACACTCCCCTCAAAGCAAGGCAGGGAGATGGAGTTGTGTGTGATGGAGAGGTGCAATTGTGAACTTTGTGTATTGGATTCTAAATCAGTTGCGGGAGACCAAGGAGATACGAATGACGCCTAGGCGTGAATTTGTGTTTGGGCGAGTGCAAGTCCAGTCTTGGGCACTACATAAACGATGGCTCTTCCGAGTTATATCAAGGTATTTGATTTATACAAACACGTGTTAGGAGACTTGGCCTGTCCTCCCATACGCGAATCGAAACAGAGCTTACATATACATATATATACAGAGACAATGAAGATAAGGGCAATATATATAGATGTAGATTTCGAAACCGCAAGGAGGAAGGATCACTCCAAGTCCACTACTGTCTGGGGTATCCAATTGTCATTGTACACTTGAAAGGGAAACGTTGCAAATCGTCTTCGGTGGAAAAGAAGGGGGGTTTTCTTTGTCTTTTTATCTGGATTCATGGGTACACCTCAAAGCAACGTCGGAAGGAAGAGGGATTAATCTCTTTTGTATGTTCAAATGCCGAACGTTGAATTAGAAAATAATTGGGGGGGCTATCCATTTGTTGTTCACCATTTCCCTTTCTTGTTTCCTGGTCTCGTGATGCTATTTCTCTTTAAGCGGAGAAGAGGTCACCGCAGCCCCAGGTGCGCTCGCAACCGCAGGTGCCGGGGTCCTTCCACTCGTCGTTGTGGAAAGAGAAGAAGACGGTCTTTCCACCGGCGAGCTCCTTGATGGAGGCGATGGCGGTGGCCTGCTCAGAGGTACCGGGGCAGGCCTTGCCGTTGCAGTTACCGCCGGAGGGCCATCCGCACTCGAGGTTGTAGGCAGGCTTGGTGCCGCAGATCTGGGAGCTCTCGAGGAGCTCAATCTGGCCCTTGACAAAGGTACCGGCGTCGGTGGCGGCGGTCTCGGCGTTGAAGTAGGGGTGGATCTGACCTCCGACGACGTCGATAACGTCGCAGATCTCGGAGATGACATCAGACTGCTGCCAGACGCCGACGGTCTCGGCGGTGGTGTAGGGACCAGAGTAGCCAGCAGCGGTGATAGCGGCCTTGGTGGAGACGATGAGCTGCTTCAGGGAGCTGGCGGAGCAGCGGCCCTGGAAGATGCACTCGTTACCAATGACGACGAGCTCGACCATGCCCCACTGCTTCCAGGCGGTGATGGCGTCAACCTGGTTCTTGATGTCGGCGGAGTTGGGGTCGCAAGACTCCTTGACGAAGATACCAATGATCATCTGGAGGCCGTACTTCTTGCAGGCGGCGCCGACGTTCTCGAGGGTGCTGCAGTCGGTGGAGTAGACACGGACGGTGCGGAAGCCGGAGTTCTTGATGGTGGAGATGTCGGCATCGACCTGGTCGGCGGTCTTGCAGGATCCAGAGGCATCCTCAGAGAAGGGAGTGTAGGTGATGGCCCAGTGGTCGCCGTTGTTGCCTCCGAGGCCACCGCCGGTGGCGGGGGCAGAGGAGGAAGGAGCGGCAGCAGAGGAAGTCTTGGCCGTGGTGGGAACAGGCTCGGGGGTAGCGACAGCGGAGGTCGTGGGAACGGGAGCGGGAGCCTGAGTGGTGGGCTTGGCAGCCTCGGTGGTAGGCGCAGGCTTGGGGGCCTCAGTGGTGGGCGCGGGAGCAGGGACGACGACGGGGACGGAGCTGCTGGTGGGCACAGGGTTCTGGCTGGTGAAGGGGCAGACAACGACGACGCTGGTCTCGGTGATGGTGGTCACGACGGGAGGGCGAACGTAGGTACCGGGGACGATCTCGGTGACGACGGGGTAGACGCAGGTGGTCGGGGCGGTCACGGTCGTGGTGGTGGGAGCGATGGTGTAAGTGCCAGGGGTAGGGCAGACGTAGGTGGTGGTCTCGATGACGCTGGTGACAACACCACTCTTGGTCTTCTCGGTGGCGTACGGGCAGACGACGGTGGTGGCCTCGACAACAACGGTGGTGACACCACCGATAGTGTGAACACCGGCAGGGACCTTGGTGGTCTCGGGAGCGCAGACGGTGGTGGTCTGGTTCACGGTGATTGTCGTGGCCGGGAAGGTGTAGGTACCCGGGGTAGGGCAGAGCTCAGGGACCGGAGTCGGGACGGGCACCACGGGCTTCGCGGTGGACGTGGGCTTCTCCGCGGCCTTGGTGGTCGCAGGCGCCGAGGGAAGGGCGCTGGCGACAGACTTGCTGCTGGGCTTGCTGGGAGGGTTAGGAACCACTGTTGATCATCAAGTCAGCACAGAAGATCGATACCAGCTTTATTCACCTCCGCATTCCAAGACTCTACAGGGCTATAGAGCAAGAATGGTTTCGGATAGTAAATGGGGGTGGAAGTGAGAGAGATACATACGCGTAGGCTCGCCGTAGATGGTGGTGTAGATGGTGGTGCAGCCGGGAACACAGACGGAGGCCTGGTCAGCACCTCTCTTGAAGAGGTCGGCGTGGGCGTGACGGTGAGCAGCGGCGGTGACACCGGTGACGGTCGCGGCAGCGACTGCGAGGATGGAGCCCTTCATGGTGAATTAAGTTGCCTTTTTTTTCTTGAGTAGGGGAATTGAGTATTATTCGACTTTGGGAAGCGAGTGCCCGCTAAAAGAGTGAAGCGGTAGTGAAGGTTTGCGCGTGTAGAGACGAAAGGGACGACGAAACTACGTTGACGGCATCAACTCATTTGACGGTGTTTTCGTAAGGAAAGGAAAAGGGAAAGAGAAAGAGGAGGAAAGAAAACTGGCGGGACCGGGATGTTATTATTGTGATGGTGGTTAGATTAGGTAGAAGGCTAGTATCCGTACTTTCATGGGTACGACCATGAGAAGTCTAGCATGTCCCTGGGGGCCCTGGGCCGGGGTGTGTGCGCGAACGGTGTGTGTGTGTGTGCCCACTTCCAGATGGATGAATGGGCCAAAGTGCGGGCAGGCTAGCGTCCAATGACCTTACGTTGGATGGCATCGGGCCATTAGTTTGGCAGTTTGGCATAGGAGGAGGGGGGACTGGAGGGACTCTGTGTGTGTATTCGTCTTGTGTATTCCATGATGCTGGTGACACTATGTTTACTATGAAAGTCGGGGAGCCGTTGGTTGGTGACCACGAACTGTTGATGGCTGCGGGATAAAGAAGCATTGGGCAATGTGTAAGAGCAACACTACCTCAACTCAAACTGAGGGGTTTCTTGTGTTCCTTTACGGATACAAGCAGCAACTCGACAGCAAACAAGCCCCTGTCCTCGGCAGCAAGTCACAACAGAAAAGCTGAGGGGCAAGGAGGTGGAGAGGTACCACTGTGTAGGAGCCAGAAACGAATCTCAGCTTCAGAGAGTCCCAGACTTCTGGTGGAGTGTCTGGGGATTATCGGGACTATGGGATTCGGGAAAAGCAAAGAGACTCTGTCGGTTGAGGATCACAACGGAGACGCTGCCATCCGGAGAGAGGGCTTCGGTCAGGGGGTTGAAGAAAGGATACGGGTTGGCAATCTTGACTGGGCTTGTAGTCGAGTCAATGAGATGACCAGAAGCATCTTGGCCACGGTTCGTCATGAATGACTGTCAGACTGACAGCGCAAGGAAAAGGGAGGCGAAATGGCCATCCCGGTTAAGCATAGTTGGGGGATTGTCGTTTTGGGCTCTTGGAAGACCGCAAGGCGGGAAGGCCAAGCAGATCCAGTCCAGAGGCGGACACGACAGCAAATGAGCGAGTAAAAGCGTGGTCAAGGGGACTTGGCCAACGGTCCAACCGAATCCACCGTCGACGGAGCCTGGAAGTGCCAGAGAGACTGAGAGAGAGTCTGGGCTTGGAGGGGATTGAGAGACATGGTGTAGTGAAATGGGGCTCGACGTTTATTAGTGACTGAGAGTATGTGGTTCGAGAAAGAATCCAGCCTGGGCTGGGCTCTCTTGAGTCTTGCATCAACCAGTGGCGGAGGGCCAGAAGAAGCAACGAAGAAGGAACGGTTCGACGGTGAGCACGAGGTGAATACCACACCATAATGTCTCTCTTTCTCACCTTCCCACCTACTCCGTACGGAGTACACTCACACAATAGTATAAAACGGGTTTTGGATGTGCAGGAACGATGCAGACCGTAAGGTAAGTTACTGTGTACGTACTGCATTGTAGAAGCTAACAGAGGCGGAGCTGCAAGGTACCCGAGGTGCAAAGTCCACTGAGATGGCTGATTGGGGAGGGATCGGCGGGTGCGGCGGAGGGGGGAAGGAGCGAGTTGGACCTTGTAAGCTGCAGTTGCCTCCCAGCTGGAGGAGCAACTTGAGAAGGGGGGAGGAGCGAGTGGTGCGTCCGGGAAATTAGCTAAGCGACATTGGACACTTCCCAAGCAGCAGACCCAGAAAATGAGATGAACCTCCCACTCGCGAGTCTTGACTCTCCAGGCTCCTCCTTTCCCAGCCAGGGAACCTTCTTTTTTTGCGCCCATGCCAAGCTTGTTTACTGTTTACGCTAGCCCCCGGTCCATCCAGTAATCCAGGAACACACCTCACCGTCAGTCACACGGTACTTACACTAGTTTGTACACCTCACCGTCGCGCCGCCCGTTGTTTCCTTGCACCGGTGACCTCAGACCTGGCGCTGTCCATTCGAGCAGCAAGGTCAATGCTAAGTCTCGAGTCTCTTGCCCTCTCATTGGTATCAGGCTAATAATCTTGATGACAGTTCATCTTCGTATCGTCAAGAAGGGGGGGGCCCTTCCAACAAGGGTTCCCGCCGCTCCTGCATGGGCGGTCGAAGAAACCACAAACCGTCGCCCGGGCCTCCTAACTTCCGTACAACTCTTCCGCCCTACGCTGATTGCGATGATGATGATCCGTACGAATTAGGAAAGAAAAATGAAATGAGATTCGACTCTTCGAGTGGCCGAGAACGCCGTTTCGTCTGGCTTGGTCAATCCATCGTCTTCTTCAATCTCCAAGCGCGACAATTCCGATGAACCATCCACTACGGAATACAACGTACGCATACATCAGGCTGTCAGCCAATCCCGACTTCTTGCGGATGTTAATGCACCCTGCCATCCCATGGATTCTGGACCTCGTGTTCGTGGCTGATCGCCCGGCGCGCTTCGGCGGCAAATTTGATGTCTCTTGATGGATCACCTGCACCCTTCGTTTCTTGAAATCACAGCTTCTCGGAGAAGCAATCTTATGGTCTGCTAGAGAAAATCGACGGCGCGTCACCGAGAGAGATAGCGGTCACGAGATGCTCGAGGTGGTATGCAAGTGAGCCTTGAGGTGTGCATACTTCTCCAATCAGGCATAGTTTGGCCCGATGATTCGTACCTGCATCTGCCAGATGCAAGGCCCGTCCGGAGGCAGAAAATAACCCGACGGTCTACTTTTTAGGCGACCTGGATCACCGACCACCCAGATACTGTAGACTGGCGCGCGAGACTCGAACTAGACTCTGAAGTCACTAGACTATCTGAAGCACTAAAAAACGCCTCACCAGAGAAAGGTAGTCGAAACACACCGTTCACCTCGCAACTAATCTACGAACAACTGCTTTCTGTCTGCCGCAGTCTATCTTTGGTTGTTCCAAGTTTCTTGCTATGCGGGGTGGATCTCCAACGGCCGGGGGGCTTGTTATCATCGAACGGTTCTCTCCACCTGCATCCGTACGGCAACACAGACTTGGGAGCGCATCTCGGGATGCGGGATCTTCAACGAGGCTACAAAGTGCACATTGCAATTTATACACTGCGGATATCTATGTCGAATCGTCGATGGCCGTTGAGACGAATCTACAATCTTTTCAAGCCCAGAAACGCCATCTAGAAGCTCAGCCAGCGCACAAACACTCTCCACCGCACGCGAGCGAGCGCCTCAATGACTTGGACGGTCCTCAGGCACGTGCGCAGCCTCCTTCTGTTCCTTCTGATATAAACGGAAACTGCCAAAATCTGAAAATAAAGAAGAGCCTTTTGCCGCAACGGCCAAGGAACATGAACAATCTGACAGACCGTGGGCAAGCCTCAAGTAACGACGGTATTGTACCTACGTCAGCACGTGGTCAGGTAAGGTAGCACTCCTGCACAAGTCTAAAATGTTTAATCACGCTTAATTGTGAAGGGCAAATCACTGCACAAAAAAGCACCCCGTCGTCAGTTGTGGATCCCATTTCCCGCAACCCCTTTTTTTCGCTTTTGCTTTCCAGCTTGGCCAGCTTCTGCTCAACTCTCAAGCCTTGGCCCCCTTCCGCGCTGAATCCTCTCCCACTCGCCCATCTCCGCCTCATCCCCCCAGAGAAAATGCCGAGCTGAACCAGACTCTTTTCGGGCGGGGACTCGCGATCCCCACCACCCTCTCGTATTCACCCCCGGGAGGCCTAAGACTCGCCAAAGAAGCAAAATGCTGGCAAGTTGGTCAATGGCCGACAACGCAACATCCCGGTCTCTGCACAATGCGTGCAACGTGCAAGCTGCCAGCGATCAACGTGTCTGGTGAACCTTGACAACCCATTCAACCAACCCGAGGAAACATTATGCAGATCTATTTCCCCAAGCTGGCATAGTGAAGACTGTCTAATCTCACCAAAATCTTCCGAATTTCCCATCAGAGCCATCGACTCTCAGCGCCAAGTCGAAATGGTACCGGGAGAAGGAGTCAAGAGATGAAGTTTCCAGACTTGACCTGCGCTGGAACCTCTTTTGAGTAAATGTTTTGCTCATCTCCTTCCACTACGGTCTTGTTCGTTTGACCGTGCTACATCTTCCCACATGGCCGCGAAAACTGTAACAAGATGAATTGATGAACATGGAGTTCTACCTGTCAAAATTGTGGCCTAGCAGATCAATGTCAAAGATCCCAAAAGCTTGACCTCTTTCTTTCCGTATGCAAATCACCTAGTCCAGCCCATTAGAGATCACCACCCCCCCCCCCCTTTTTCTTTCGACTCTGTGCTTTATGTACCCCGTAAGCTTCAGTTGCTCTAGACTTCAACGGATACGTAAGGATAATACCCCGTTGAACACCTCGCTTTCGAGATAGATCACATAGAACCCTAAGCAAACCAGACCCAGACCGCCAAAAGACACAATTTCATCTTATTACTCCGCAAGCCCAGCCCACGACTCGGTCACGGCTCACGATCCCCACCACGCAAGGCCCCTGGCCTCTACGAATAGAGCAGAGAGAGATTTTGGCACCAGGCACCAGAAAAAAGGGGGCAAGCTCTCGGTTCCTGTCCTTGACCGTTGACGGGCTCGAGTCCCCCGGCCCGGGGCAGCCGGAAATATCCGCTCTTTCCGACTTCCGGGCTCCCAGTCTTGGGCGCTCTTCGCCTAGGTATCGTAGACAAACAATCTGATAGCTTCCGTAGCCCATCTTGGAGCTCGCACGAGTCGGTTGCCGATCTTTTCGGCACTTCCGCGTCGCTGTCTGCCCGCTGTCAAGGTCAAAGTAAATTCAGAACAACGTCCACTTTCATACTCCATAGCTAGTGCGTATACTCCGTATGTAAATATTGTTTGAAGGTCACGACGCGCATAACTCCAGCAAACGCATGTCAATCGTCAAAGTGAGAACCAAAACGGGCTTGAAAATCAACGCCATGCCTAGAAAATACACATTCTAAGGAAAGATTTCGGTCTACCAATGTTCTCTTTCAGCCTTTGCCTAATTCCCCGCCCTACTTGATAGCCCCATCCACTCCAAAATCAAACAGTAAACAATAGTGTCACAGATACGCTTAGGTGCCGCGTTTACTTCTTAGTAAAAGAGGCTTCCGCGAGCAGCCCATTGCTCTCCCAATCATAAGAAACCCATTCATACGTCCTCGTCACTATCGTCACCAAGGAGCTCGCCTTCGTCGTCGTCGACAATGTCGTAATCTCCTCTGCCCCGCGCGAAACTGTCCCTCGTGGTGAACCTGCGGTTGCCCCGCCCGTTGAGCCAGCTGCCCCTGCTTCCACCGCTCACACTCTCGTAAGCAGAGGTGGCGCGCCTCCACAGCGCCGAGGCGACGAGCGGCAGGGCCGCCGCGACGGCAACCACCGCCGACAGGGCAATGACCGGGTACTTGATCCACGGCGCGTCGTTGTCCAGGTTCGACGACTCGCCCAGCCGGATCTGACCAAACTTGTCGTTCCAGTTCTGGTATACCCACCAGCCAATGGCTCCTGCGAGTCCGATGGGGATGACAACCGCAAAGAAGATTGCAATGCCAGACGTTCTGCGCCGCCTCTCAAACTCCTCTTCCTTACCGGCACAGGCGTGGACGTTGGCCTGCTTGTCGAATTCTTGGCCTCCATCGCAGGTGGTGAGCGGGATTCTACGATAGCCGGTGGGTTCGTAGTATTCAACAGCATCGGGGTTTTCCTTGCACCACTGCTCAGCCGACATGGGAGATTTGCCCTCAACAAGACTGCACTGTTTGTGGCCATCCAACTCAAAGTTGTAGTCGCTGTGAATCAGTTGTTAGCCATAGTGCGTGCGAATACTAAGGTGTGGGGATGTGCTTACCATTCATAGTCGGCCCTGGTGCAAGTGCAGTTCTGGAGTTGGTAGAGATGCTGGACCTTGAGGTCATTGTAGCAGTTCGCTTCGTCTTTCTTGCGCAGGTACTTTGAAACGTGTCCAAAGAGGCAGTCATCGGGCTGCGATGGGTGCTTGGGCGACCACAGGTAGTAGTCAGAGTCACCGTTCTCGTCGTTCTTGCAGGGGCGGTCGCTCAAGCCAGTAAAGTCAACGTTGACAGAGAACATCTCGCCACCATCGTCCTTACACCAGATGAGGAAGTTTCGCGAGGCTCCGGAGCGGAGAGTTGAGATATCCAAGACAGTGACTTCTTTGTCGGTGAAGTCGAACGGTTTCCAGGTCTTGCCCTCATCCGTGGTGTACTGAATAGTCTTCGTCTTGACTGGGTTCTCGCGGCTGGCCCGCTGAACAAGGACAACAATGGATCCTTGGTCACCGTACTGCCAGGTCCAAGCACCCTTCTTGACGTTCTTCCAGGTAATGCCGGCATCAGTCGTCATGAAGGTATCGGCGTCCTTGACAGAGCCCAGATTCGGGCCCACGTTGCCGTAGCCAAACATGAGTCCAACCGCGGTAGCAGCGGAGAAGGTCTTCTTCTTATCCGCTCGCTCGGTATAATGATGAAGATGCAGCGCACACTTCTCATCGCCCTCACTGCTACTGCATGAGTAAGATTTGCCATCAATGTCAGCTTTTGGCGGAGGAAGGAAAGCCCACTGCGAGCCGTCGTTGTGAGAGATTTGGGTTTGGACCTTCTTCGGCTCGTTCTTCTTGTCCTTGTTAGCGACGGTGTTGATAAGTGCGACACCCTCGAGGCCGGTGATCTTCTCGAAATCCACATAGTATTCATCATTGCAGTTGACAGCCTGTGCGCTCATGACGTACGACGTTCCGTTCGAGTTGCTCTTGATGATGCTTCCCTGCCGGCGCCCCTCCGTAGTCTCGGTGGCCACGAACAAGTTCACAGCATGCGTGGAGCTGTCTAGTACTGTGTAGGCATTCTGGTGGCCCGGCTTGAAGTTGACGGGGAAGTGTGCTTCAGCATAGCTGACGCCGTCCAAGCTGGCAAGAGCACGGAGACCATTCTTTTCTTTGTCTTCTGCGGCAACGACGATGAACTCGGCCATGGTGGCAAAGTCCTTCACATCTGACTGATGGAACTGCTTGTCCTCATCGAAGAAGTCCTTGCTGGAGACGATGACCTTTGGGTTGTCCTTCTCATTGTCCTCGCGCTTGTGGGCAAGGCAAACAACTTGGCGCATATCGCGGAACTTGTAGGCCGAGTGACCGGTGAACTCGCACTTCTGAACGTAGCGCATGGCCGTCTTCCAATTATCACCGCGATCCCTGGAGATCGACGCCTCCTTGAAGCACTGGTCCTTGCCATCAATCTTCTCGCACTTCTCGCCTATCCAGATGAGCCAGTCCTTCTTGTCGGGGTGGAAGGAGAGAGGGT